TGTCTCGTTTTGAGTTTGTCTGTTTTTGTGTTTTTTTTTTTGAGGGGGGGGGGGCTTTTACTTGTTTTCTTTCTTTCTCTCTCTCTTTTTTTTTGGGTGTGTGGTTTGATTTGATAGGGAGACGGGTTTTTGTCTCATTTTGAGTTTGCTTGTTTTTATTTTTTTTTGGGGGGGGGGGCTTTTATTTGATGGTTGTGTTTTCTTTCTTTCTCTCTCTCTCTCTGTTTTTTTTTTTGTGGTTGGTTTGATTTACATGAGGGTTTAGAGTTCATAAATGTTTGGGGGATGTGGGTTTGTGTGTGTGTTTGAGTGAAGGGTCTGCCGGTATCTTCGTTTTAGGATATATGCAGTTTGTTCGGTGTCCTGTCTTCTTATGTAATGTTGAATATGGTTTTGGGTAGTTTCAATTTCCCACAGCCATTTATTACAAGGAAGAATTTGCATGTAACAAACAGAATGAAAATACAACAAATTTCGTCTATGGTATTTCCTTTGCAAGTTTATAAAAAAAGTTGTGCAACATGTATTACATTGGCTTTGCTGTTTACTATTACTGCAGATCATTTCTTGTAAACACAACTACAGCTTTTGGTCATCCTCAGTTTGCCCTACCTTAGTGCATCCATACTATTAAGATTGACCCACTTATGAAATAGACATGCAGGAAGAGAATGATGTGGAAATGAAGAAAATGGTTGTGACAAATGCCAAACAGAGAGTAAATCTGTAATATTTGGGTGAGCATCTGGTAGCGGAGCCCCTGATAGGTAAATGCAGAGATTAGGTGGGGGTCTAGGATTTCATAGGAGTGGCTGGAGTAATAGGGACTTGATTTCAGAGGGGTGCTGTCACTTTGCAAAACAAGTACCAATACTTTCACTTATATAATTTGTGACGGAAGACCACAACAAATTACGCAAATTACACTGTGAATAACCGAAACAAATAATAATACTTAACAAAGTTGGATGCTGTGTGAAACTAAAAAATTACCCTTGCAATCACAGGAACCATACATGACTTTGCAGCATTTAACCCATTGCCGCCGGGGATGGCATGTACGTACATGCCATGCCCACTGTGAGTCGACTTGTTTGATTGTTTTTACACATAGATGGCTACACTTGTACTAAGTATCCAATGAGCCAATTAACCCCTTGGTGCCAGGTATGACGTGTACGTACGTGCTATGCCCACAGTGAGTACTTGTTTGATTGTTTTTACACATAGATGGCAACACTTGTACTAAATCACCAATGAGCCCGTTACGAGCACCACCCGTCTCGCCCGTTTACCCGTTTCTTTGATTTACAAAATATTTTACGTAATCTTATTTTTCTGTTACTAATGTTAAAAAAATATATAAAAAATATAATGTTTATGATAAAAATAACACCATCAATTTTCATAGTGCTAGTGAAAAATACGTTTTTCCCGCCATTTAAATCAGGCGCTAGCAGAGCCATCTATCGGCAGACATTTTACGAAAAACATAGAAAGTGGGCACAATATTTTCCCCATTTTTTGTTCATTTTCCCCGGCACCATTGGGTTAAGAGTACTGCCTGTCTCGCCTGTTCACCCTTTTCTTCGATTTACGAAAATATTTAATGTTATCCTAATTTGCTGTTAAAAATAACACCATCTATATTTATAGCACTAGTAAAAATACGTTTTTTCCCGCCAATTCATGGGAAGGTGAAGTCAGGGCTAGCAGAGTCATCTATGGACAGAGATATTTCACAAAAATATAAAAAATGAGTACTGCATTTCCCCCATTTTTGGTTCATTTTCCCCGGCGGCAATGGGTTAAATTCTGATGTCATGATCCATCTTTGTCACTCATAGGAATGCACTGCACTTTTAAAGTATTTCTCATTTTCAGTTTTCATCACAGTATGTTAATCCATTGCCGACGGGCATGCCATGCCATGCCCACTGTGAGATTACTTGTTTGATTGTTTTTAGACATAGACGAGCCAGTTATGAGTATCGCCTGTCTTGCCCATTTATCCTTTTCTTTGATTTATAAAATATTTTATGTTATCTTATTTTGCTGTTACTAATGTTAAAAAACATTATAGTAATTATAATGTTTAAAAAAAAAATAACACCATCAATATTCATAGCACTAGTGAAAAATACATTTTTCCCGCCATTTCAAATCAGGCACTAACAGAGCCATCTATGGGCAGACATTTCACAATAAAATATAGAAAATAGGCACAGCATTTTCCCCCATTTTTTGTTCATTTTCCCCGGTGGCAATGGGTTAAGTTTCTCCTGTGGAAGCATCTGCAAGCAAATTTGACAGTTCTGCTATTGTAACACCCATTTTGCTGTTTGGAAGTGAAGTCTGTTAAAATTGCTTTGTTTTTTCTGAATTTTGACACAGTGATCATTATCTCTTGATGAAATTGTTACAATCTCTGGGATATTCCTAAATTCTTTGGAGTACACTTACTATGTTGCAGCAGCACTTACCCCCCAGAAATCAGACATCTTTTCCTAGCCTCAGCATGCTCTTACCTTTCATTATAAGTTAAACCCGATTTATAAATATTAAAATTTTGAATATTGTAATGGATGAATCAACCAGTTAGGAAATATGGTGACGAGTAGAGGGTCTGGGGGCAGAGGCTGCACCTTGGGATAGACCACAAACAGGCGGAGTTCTAGAGCTGATATTGATTAAGATCATCCATGATTGAACCCTTAATGAATTTTACACTCTTAACCCAATGGTGCCGGGGAAAATGAACAAAAAATGGGGAAAATATTGTGCCCACTTTCTATGTTTTTTGTGAAATGTCCGCCGATAGATGGCTGGCCCTGATTTGAATGGCGGGAAAAACGTATTTTTCACTAGTGCTATGAAAATCGTTGGTGTTATTTTTATCATTAACATTATAATTTTTATAATTTGGGGAGTTAGTACAAGTGTTGCCGTCTATGCGTAAAAACAATCAAACAAGTACTCACTGTGGGCATAGCACGTACGTGCACATCATACCCGGCACCGAGGGGTTAAAAAGTTACTGTATTTTCATTATATTTCTCTATTTCAACTATGGGAAATAGGGTGATGAGGTATAATGATCAGGTATGTGTCTAGAGGCAAAGTCTCCAGGTTAGGAAGGTTTTTGGTGCAGGTGGCAGTGTTTATGGATTTCCTAGAATACTCCCGATCCTGTTGGTTGGAGTTAAAGGGATTTAGTCTAACAGGTGTGCAATTACTTCATAAACAATTACTCTCATTTCTTTTCATTTTTTAGGCTATTCTATGCAATTCTCAAGTTAAATCACTCTATCTTTTCAGTGCCAGTTTGCCAAAATTGTTGGAATGGAGAAAAAGGGATAAATCACTTAGACATGTTATTCTCTGAATTTTGGATGTCACGATTAAACTAGTTAATGACAGAAAATATTTTTATTGATGGGAATTGGTCTACAGAATCCCTCCTGTATCACAAAATCTGGGCCCTAATAGTATAGTAGGTCATGATTTTGAATAGTAAAATATCAGGGTAAAACATGTGGGAAAAAGAGCACTGTAATATACATGAACATATATGGATTATTTGCCTATCATCCAATTTAGGGGGCTGTACCTCATGCAATTCTCCTCTCCCCCACTCCAGGACATATATATGGCTAGAGGGATCTCTCAGTGTACCCTTCCTTTTGATCAACCATATGCTTCAAACATTGTTATTATTAGGACTTGTGAAACAAATGAACCCAAACATTGAGTACAAAGGGCAGTAAATACAGGTATATCAATTTTTTTATAGATGATTTGATAAGATTCAGTATATAAGCTATAGGCTGTTATTGAGGGGAGACAAACAGCTTGGAACATAGTCATTAGCAGCTAATCACTCTATTAGTATCTTCCTAAGGCCCTGCCTGCCTTGTTTGCTGGCTAATAAAAATACACAATGTGACCCACCATGTTGACACCATGAATCTGTATACTTTCAATGTCATGTTTTTCATATTTTTATTGAATTTGCATTGTCTCCCACATTCATGGATGTGCCTCATAGAGTTATGTAGACACAAACCAAAACTTCTTGTCCACCTAAATGTCAGACTGCCAGATATTGTCAACATGGCTATAAATGAGATTTGGCCAAGCAAGTGGTGGACTGCATCTGAAAATACTCACACACATACAGGTGGCAGGCTGCATTGAACATGATTTTGAAACAACAACTCATTTACACCAGACTGCTGCAATAGATTGTAAAATATAGGCCACTGGTAGCCAAGACTCTTTTTCATTGGTCAAATAAGCCTGCATGCATATGATTGGTTTTAGAGAGCTCTTTTGGAGCTTAACCCATTGCTGACGGGAATCCCATGCCATGCCCACTGTGAGATCACTTGTTTGATTGTTTTTACACATAGATGGCTACACTTGTACTAAATCACCAATGAGCTAGTTACGAGTACTGCCTGTCTCGCCTGTTTACCCTTTTCTTTGATTTACGAAATATTTTACATTATCTTATCTGTTACTATTGTTAAAAAAACATTATAATAATTATAATGTTTATAATAAAAATAACACCATCGATTTTTATGGCACTAGTGAAAAATACGTTTTTCCCGCCATTTCAAATTAGGCGCTAGCAGAGCCATTTCACGAAAAACATAGAAAATAGGCACAGCATTTTCCCCATTTTTTGTTCATTTTCCCTGACGGCAATGGGTTAACTGATTTTCTACCACAAATGCTGCCCTTCTTAAATTCCTTGCTCATCCTGGTTGAGGATTAGCAGCTGATCATGACTGTAACAAAAATAAGCCTATTTAAGACTTCTTTTGCTTATTTTTTGTGTATTGACTACTAAGGTTTTTAAAACTAACCATGCATTCCTCCTCCTTTGTTTGTAATTTACTATTAATTGATTATTTATTATATGCATGTGTGTTGATTATTTTATCACTGGAGGCTAACATACCTTTTTTCCTCAGAGGAAAGACTACACATACAAGGGCCATGGTGACAGTGTGGACCAGCTGTGTTGGCATCCCACACACTCAGAGCAGCTCACCTCGGCCAGTGGGGACAAGACAGTCAGAATATGGGACACGAGGACACACAAATGCTCTGCCACTATAAATACGAAAGGTTTGGGGCATTCTGCATACTGTTTCTCTTCTCGTTCTTTTTCTTGTTAAGTCTTATTTATTTCTGGTCTTTCATTCATTTTTTATTGACCTTTTAATTCTTAAATTAGGGATATGTGCTGAATAATAATGAAATATTTTGTTAGCATGAGTTTGAATGAGTAGTTTATTGATTTTTTTGCAGTTTAAAATTGTCTTGGCTTTATAGTATAACCTTTTATATGTGTGTATAGATCGTATATTTATTTTTTGAAGTTACACTTATGGAATTAGGTATAAAGTCTCATATATTAGGGATTTATGTAGATATTGATAATTTGTTTAAATTCATTCTCACAGCAAAAATGATTATATGTGAAATTAAGTTTATCCAATAATAACCAAAATTTTTATTGTATTCACAGTGTTGATTTGTTGCTTTCAGTGACTAAGTAATTATGTAGTGTGATTATACACATCTCACAAGTACAGCACTTATGATTCCCTGTTCATAGCTGGATATTTTTTCCCACAAATTAGGGAACAATATTTGGATTTTATGTATATGCAGTAGGTTTATATTCAAAAGTACAGATTTTAGGACAGGATGGTTTGCTGAGATTTTAACAAGACAATGAAAATTAAAGACATTTTTCTATTTTGATTTACTTGAATTGCGTTCGTTCATTGTGTATAATATAGATGACTAGTAGTGAACTGTTAATATTGTTCAGTAGTCCAAATTTTAGAATGCTTATATGGTTAAACTCGGAACAGCTTTCATATGTTTTGTGATATAATGAATATTTTAAATTTTTCAGCTGATGTTATACCAGAAACAAAAAATATTAACTTGCATATTGTAGATTTGATTTGTTTCACTTATCTTTCTTTTTCTTCTTCTTCGTCTTTTTCGTCTTCTTCTTCTTCTTCTTCTTCTTCTTCTTCTTCATTTTCTTCGTCTTCTTCTTTCTTCCTTTCTTTCTTTCTTTCTTTTTTTTTTTTTTTGTATGTATGTATGTATATATTTGACAATTGGATTAATCTTCCAGGTGAGAACATCAACATCACATGGTCCCCAGATGGCCAGACGATTGCCGTCGGAAACAAAGAGGACCTGGTGTCGTTCATAGACGTCCGCAGCCAAAAGATCCGCCACGAGCAGCAGTTCAAGTTCGAGGTCAATGAACTGTCGTGGAATAATGCAAATGACCTCTTCTACCTCACCAATGCTCAAAGTGGGCAAGGATATATTCATATATACAAGTGAGTGGAACTGCTGTCGGATGGGACTGGCTGTGTACGTGTGCATTTTGATTTCCGTCAGCTGTCCCAGAGGGTTTTAGATTCTGAGCGTGAATCTTGTGCAGGCTAGGGTTTTTTCTCCTTTCTGTATATGTTTTCATTTGTTATGTAGAATTTTGTATATGATAGCCATTTTAGTGGTTGTTGTTGTTGATGTTTTTACTCATATATAGTGTTGATTAGATATATAGCAACATTGTCTTAGATTTATATAAGAGAGAAAAAAGGGTTTTGTTAATTTTCAATATTTTTTTTCATGAGCAGTACGATTATCATATATATGTATAGGCTACTTTACCTGAATATAGTGTAGAAAAACATAAACAAAGAAAACATTGAATAATCTTCAATACGCAGGGTAACTTGTGTTATGGCCAAAGACTGACCAACTCCAGCCATAGTTTGACATATGTTGAGACGGAATGTGTCTATCAGTCTGTGTTATTGTATGCACGCACTCATGTATGTGCGTGTTTAGAACTTAGCATTTTTTCAAGTACATCGAAGTTGAACTTGGGTGTTTGCCGTTGCTTTCTTCCTACACTGAGTCCATGTTTCTTGTCAAAGAGCTGTTTCCTTATTCCAGTGGCACAAATGCTTCATTCTCAGTATGCTTACCGGAGGATAGGTGAAGGAAACAAGGCCATGATGAAGTAACGAGGGCATGAGGGTAGTGCTAGGTAGTGTGTTGTGTGTTGGCGGGTGTTGGCTTGTGGGAAGCACCTTGGCATCACCTGGTTAGAGGAAAATTATTCAGTGGTCTTTTCAGGCAAATAGATTTTCCTAAATTCATGTATTTTCGTTGTGTTAGTTAAATCTTTAGGTGTTTGTGTGTGTGTGCCTGCGTGTGGATGTTGTTTAGGGAAATGGTACCTAGCTAGTCCTATTGATATGGAACTTGCGTAGGTGATATATAACCATATCAAAGTACCTCTATGGTAAAGACTTTCCTGAGGACTATATTTTAGATGGTTCTTCATGTCGACCTAGAAACTTGTGGTCATATAGCAGGTTCAGAGCCTTGAAACTTTAAAATGAGAAGAAAGAGAATGGAGATCTGTAAGCTCATGAAGGGAAATCCATTAGGAGCCTAGATGATTTGCTTCAGGGAATAGGGATGCAAATACAAGCATTGACTGTGGCCGTGGTTGCCTTCTTGTTCTTCCTCATACTCCTCTTTTCACTGACAAGTTAATGACACCCAACCAGATTATGCCTGTCATTGATATTGATCTGGGATAGAATTCATTCAGAATGTGGGGTTTATGATACCACATAGTAAGTAAGAGTCATCCTAGAGATATATTTGTTTGATGTAAATGCATGTTGAACCCAGTAATAACAGGTAAAATTATTGGTAAAGTCTAGTGACGACATGCATACATTAGTGGATGTTGTTCAGTGCCTAGGTGATTATTCAGCTTATGTGGTTGGATGTGCAAGACCTGATTTTGGTGATCAAAACATGAATTCATTTACTCTGTGTCTGATAATATTTGTCATAACATGATTCTTGTTGCTCAAAACCTGATATTGCAGTGCCACACCATTTTTCTGATTTATTTGTTTTTTTTCTAAGATCATAAAATAATTAAGATAAGATACAATTGTTTATGGCATGAGTAGCCCAAAATAGTACCCTTGCAAGTTATCATGGTGAATGCACCTAATTGTTCCAGTATAACTAGCTTTCAAGTTGTAGGCTTCCAAAGTTGTCCTAAACCCTTGTTCTTTATATAAGATAATCAGTACAAAGGGAAAAAAATATCCTGACCTCTTAACCCATTGCCGCCGGGGAAAATGAACAAAAAATGGGGGAAATACAGTACTCATTTTTTATATTTTTGTGAAATATGTCTGTCCATAGATGGCTCTGCTAGTCCTGATTTCATCTTTCCTTGAATTGGCGGGAAACAACGTATTCTTACTAGTGCTATAAATATAGATGGTGTTATTTTTGACAGCAAATTAGAATAACATTAAATATTTTCGTAAATCGATGAAAAGGGTGAACGGGCGAGACAGGCAGTACTCGTAATTGGCTCATTGGATACTTAGTACAAGTGTAGCCATCTATGTGTAAAAACAATCAAACAAGTCGGCATGGCATGTACGTACATGCCATCCCCGGCGGCAATGGGTTAATTTATTTTTATCCCATTCAGGTAATTTGAAGTTGACAGTGTAACAGCAGCCAGTGTATCCATATTATGTCCTGATTCCATGGAATTAGAATTATTAAGAAGGAATATTTATCATACATACGTTATCATTTATAGTTTATAAATAGTTTATGAAGTTTGAAAAAATGACCATGATGTAACATTTGAATTACTAGTCTATTAGCATTTTGAAAAATTATTAAAAGCCTTGCATCATATATTACACTTCGATATTTTTGGATTATCTAAAAGATTTTCTGCTCTTAATAAGCACATCATTGTTGCTATTCCTTACAGTTACCCAGAGATGGAGTTGGTGCATTCCATCCACGCCCATCCAGGCAACTGCATCTGTATTAAGTTTGAACCCCAAGGTAGATACTTTGCCACAGGGTCTGCTGATGCTCTCGTTTCTATATGGGATGCTCAGGAACTCTACTGCAAGAGGACATTACCCAGGTATGAAGAAGCTCTTGCTAAAGATATACTTCTGGTGGTACAGGAATTTTTGAAGAATGAAAGTAGATATGTTGATTGTGAGTGAGGAATGCATTAGGCTGCATCCTCACTGGCAGTGAGCTGGTGCAAGTGGGCACAAGCAAAAATACTATAGCACTGTAGCCTATAAATGTGGCAACAAATGAGTACAGGCCAGCTTAACCCAATGGCGCCAGGTGTACAAAAGGAAAAAAAAACTCTACGCTCTAGCAAACAAAGGCGGCGTGCCAACTTTGAGTGCGCGAGTACGGGACGTCAACCCGAATCACTACATAAAATGATTAGTTCAAATAAAGCTCTCTCACTTTACTCATAAAAAGTTTATTCAGTGAGAACATAGCAACAAAACAGTTCCCACCCACTCATGCTTGCCTGCACCTGCTCACTGTCAGTGTGGGTGCAACATATTTGCAGGCTTATATGAATTGAAATAGGTAAGGAGCTCTTCTTACACTTCAGTTACAGTATTTTGTCTTAACCAAGAAACAGAAACATCTATATTGAGTAAGAACGATATCATAAAGCAGGATTTTATTATTTTTTTTAATGAATCAAATAAGAGTGTATACATATCATTACTAATTACTTGCCAAGAGATTTGATCTAAAGTTAAGTAATATTTATAAAAATCTGAAATTTCATTATTTTGGATGAGAAACAATATGATATAATCCATGATAAATAAAAGTATTGTTTTGCCATCTGTCTTTTGAATATTCATGAATCAGATTAAATGCAGAAATAAGTAAAGACACTGAAACTTGTAGTGTTTAAAAGCATATTAAGGTAGAGGCATTGAGAACTGTTATGAGTAATAAATCCAGGTAAAGTATTTACTAATTGTTTGTGAAGAAAATATATTGGATGAGTATGCACTTGTTGACTACATGTTGGTTTCTGAAACCATCAGTGTCAACACAATGCACTAAATGTTACTTTTTTATTGTAAGAAGGTCATCCTTATTTCCAAGATAAATACTATTGTTCTTTTTTCTTGTTAAATATGTTATCTATAACAGTCATACCATTTTCAGTGAACTTTTCCAATATTGTTCTTTCTTCACTTGCCCTAAGGCACAGCAGTTCCATTTATAAAATTACCCTTATATAGTAGAATTAACATATATTAATTGAATATGAAATTCAAGACATGCATTATTGTGGATCATGGTTCCCTTCTTTTTATATTGGCTAAGTAAAATGGTCCTCAGCCTTTTAATGTGTAAGGCCATTACAGCTTCTTTAAAAACTATTTATAACCTTCATAACCCTGGTGGTGGTCTTTTTTATCTGTTTTGTTTATGCAGGGAGGTGGTTATTTACATCATTACTCGACTTTTTCATGAAAGAGTTAGTTTTATTAAATTTTGTCATCATTAACAACAATAAGAGTATTGATGAAAATAGTAACTTTTATCCGAAACTCCAAATGAGGTAAATTGGTGAGGTCAGGTAAGCTGAGGAATTGACTCCTTGGTGTCTGAGCACTTGAAGAAACATCTGTGTAAAAGGATAAGCAAATGAAATAATTCCAAACCATAGTGGACAATGCATGTATCCATGCACTTCTAGCATCAATGAGTTAATCTGATATATGAGCAGAATATAATCTGTAAACCATATTTTATTTATTGTATACAAATACCTGTAAATACCAGTTATTAAAACAACAGTATAAATCCTACTTGTTATAAAATAAGTCATATATTTCATTACTGATTTGATAGAAGTCAGTGTTATTTAGTAGATCAAGTTCCTGTTAATAGTAGTGTCATGAGTGAATATATATCTAACAGAGGAAATATCGTCATCTTGATTTGTGCATCTTTCTTTTTGTTTATAAATTGACTCTCTTGGTCATGAGGAGTTATTAGTAAGATCTAGGCATTGTCAGTCTTTGAGAACAACATTAACCCATTGCCGCCGGGGAAAATGAACAAAAAATGGGGAGAATGCAGTACTCATTTTTTATATTTTTGTGAAGTATCTCTGTCCATAGATGGCTCTTCTAGTCCTGATTTCACCTTTCCTTGAATTGGCAGGAAAAACGTATTCTTACTAGTGCTATAAATATAGATGGTGTTATTTTTAACAGCAAATTAGGATAACTGTTAAATATTTTCGTAAATCGATGAAAAGGGTGAATGGGCGAGACAGGCAGTACTCGTAATTGGCTCATTGGATACTTAGTACAAGTGTAGCCATCTATGTGTAAAAACAATCGAACAAGTCGACTCACAGTGGGCATGGCATGTACATACATGCCATCCCCGGCGGCAATGGGTTAAAATGATTAAAGGTTTTGTAGAGTATAAGTGAATATTTATATTTTGTTTCATATCCTTATTTTAAATTTTGGTATTGATTTTTTTCTGAAACAGTGTGCAACAGTGAGAATTTTCTCATTACTGTATTATAAGTAGTGTTGTTTAATACAAGGGAAAGAGTTTATGCATTGTTTACTGTATATTGCAAATAGAAGAAGTTTTGCAATAAATATAGCAAGTATGTTCACCATCATGTTGATGACTCATTACTTTTCTTCCAGATTGGAGTGGCCTGTTCGTACTTTGAGCTTTTCCTACGATGGCCAGCTCTTAGCATCAGGAAGCGAGGACCAGACCATAGACATAGCTCATGTTGACACCGGGGAGAGGGTTGCACATATTAGTGTGGCTTATCCAACCTTTACCTTAGCCTGGGTAAGTAGCTGAGGGAAATTTAAAATATGATAGCTGCCTTTGATAATATTTTACTGACAGAGGAGTATGTAAAGTGCTTCTCAAAACTATGGTTTGCTGACCCAAGTCACCAGAGGGTATAGGGTTGAATTATATAGATCATTATATAAGAATTGATGTTGAAAAGAAAGCAACAATAATCACCTTGGGAACTTATGAATAAGCAATTCAATTTACAGGAAAATATGATATGCAGGGCGAATTTGAAGTAGAAAACAATTTATATGCAAATAATTCAAATCATGAAACACCAGTCACAAATATTGTAGAACCAGCAAGGTGTGGAAAAGTATTCAGCCACCTGTGCTTAAGTAATGATAAGAAACGTGTAAGCCTCTTGCTGCTATCTAATCTCTAGATGGTTTGCTTAGGCAGGAGATAGTAACAATGCACTCATATGCTGTAAAAAAGGTGTTATCAGTTAATTTCACTTTTTATCAATTGTCATTTTCTATTTATATGCAATGATTTTCTCTTCCTGCATAAATGTATTTTTTTGGTTCTTTTAACCCCTTGGTGCCGGGTATGACGTGTACGTACGTGCTATGCCCACCGTGAGTACTTGTTTGATTGTTTTTACGCATAGATGGCAACACTTGCACTAACTCCCCAATGAGCCAGTTACGAGCACCGCCCGTCTCGCCCGTTTACCCGTTTCTTTGATTTACAAAATATTTTACATAATCTTATTTTGCTGTTACTAATGTTAAAAAAAATATATAAAAATTACAATGTTTATGATAAAAATAACACCATCGATTTTCATAGCACTGGTGAAAAATATGTTTTTCCCGCCATTTAAATCAGGTGCTAGCAGAGCCATCTATCAGCAGACATTTCACGAAAAACATAGAAAGTGGGCTCAATATTTTCCCCATTTTTTGTTCATTTTCCCCGGCACCATTGGGTTAATATTCCTAGTCATTTGGTTATTAGTATTTTTTTCTTTTCTTTTTCTCTTTCTTTTGCTTTTTTCCTCTTCTTATCTGACCTCCCCTCCTCCTCCTCCTGCCTTTGTTCCTACGCTATACTCTCTTTCCCTCATCCTTTACCTCCTCCTCTTCCTCCCTACTCACCAGTCCTCCCTTTCCTTCATCTATAGATTCTTCTCCTTTTTCTTCTTCCTTCATTCTCTACTGCCTTCATCTATAGATTCTTCTCCTTTTTCTTCTTCCTTCATTCTCTACTGTTCATTTGATACCTTCCTTTCCTCATTCTATAACTCTCTCCTCTTCCTCCTCTCTTTTCTCCTGATCATATGCTCCCTCTCCCTCCATGTCCTCTCCTCTCCTCTTCCCCTCCTGCTACTCCTCCACTCCCCTCTACTTCTCCTCCTCTTCCCTCTCTTCCTCCTCCTCCTTTTCCTTCTCCTCTTCTCCCCCTCCCCTCCACCTCCTCTCCCCACCCTCCCCTCCCCTCAGGATATGTAATAGTGTGAGATCTTTTGTTTTTCCTTTCAGCATCCACGACTCTTCCTTCTGGCATACGCCTGTGACGACAAGGATGACCGTGAAAGAGACCGAGACGCAGGAACGGTGAAGCTTTGGGGTCTGTCAGGGGAACGAAGCTGATTTCTGGTCTTATGTTTGGGTTTTGATGGATGTGATTTTTATTTTTATTCTTTAAGTTTGAGGAAGTGTGGTAGCGAGAGAGTACAAAAGGAAAGAGGGAGAGACCATATGGATACCTTACACACCAGTCTTTTCTAAACAGATGTTGTAATGACAAGGTTGATTTTGTTCAATAAAAGTTAAGCATAATACTGTATTGCTATATTATGTTGTCATTGAGTATCTGTTAAATGTTTGTATCTTTTGATACATGGACACAAATAAAGTCTTTTTAAATATTGATTGTTTATATTCACCAGAAGTAACTCAAAGCGTTTGCTTTATCATTTTTTAGACATTCTCATATGAAACATGCACTGTTCTTATTTATTAGTGATTTTAAAGGGAATTATGTATGTTCAGTTGCCTTCTTTATAGAAATTCCAAATCATTTATCGCTGTTGCTTCATATTACTCTTGATATTGTGAAGATTGCTTGTACTTTTAGCAGGTATATCACTTTAGGTTATACATTATTATTGTTAATGTATTTATCATTGTTATCGTCATCAATCATCATCATCAATCATCATCATCACCATCATCATCATAATCATCATCAATCATCATCATGTGTTATTATAATGGTTATTATTATTATTATTATTATTGTTGTAATTTAAATGTTATTTCCTTTACTAGTTAAAGTGCATGATAAAGCTTGAAGATTTTTATCTTAAATTAATCCTTGATTGTGGATATTGAGGTAAGTCTGAGGCTGTATTGGTAAATTTCTCATCATTTAGAAGTTCTTACTTTTTCTGATAGGTTTCTGTTATAAATCTGAGTTTAGGAAACAATAAGACAAGCAACACGAACACAGACAGTTACATTAATAATTATGTGTGTTACCCTTCAAGTAAATGTGGTTAGGTGATTATTCTTTTCTTGCATCAGAAGTTTATTAAGTGTGATACTTCCGGATATTTGAAAATGTACCAGAGCATTATTTGGGGGAAGGATAAAAAGAGTGCAACCCCCCCGTAAAATTTCCAAGGGGGTCGCCTAATGGACTGAACATAACTTTTCGTCCAAAACTCTGTGCAGAATTATAGTGACATTGTATTGGACATTATAACACCTCTAAAGCTCTACATGATTTTATTTTGTTAATTGTGTGTGCTGTAGCAGGAAATCATCTTTATTATAATTTATTAAAAAGGCATCCCTCAACAGACATACCATTTGCTTGGAAATTATCTCTTACTCTACCTATTAACTAGCAAAACATGACACAAAATTTCTCAGGATGAGCTAATGGTAAACAGCCAACACCTGATTTGTCATTAGTCAAAGGAACCGGTTAAACTGCTATGCTCTAGATAAGTACCACTTCATTGTAAGCATTACTTTTTTATAATTGGCAAAGGGGTTAGGTTGCATGTTCTGTGGGTTTTTTTCTGCCTTTGCAGATATAGTCGGTCAGGACCAGTAGTGTTGTTAAGGGGCTTATCATGCACGTGGTTAAAATCAGTCTTATCCACTGATATGGCAACTTAACCAACAAGATGAAGTGCATAATAATGATCTTAGTAAAGGATGTGTTCAAATACCCATCCCATATGGC